AGGTCTCTGACTATTCTAATATATATTAATTAATTAATAATAAAAGCAAAAGTTGAAAATAAAATGATGAGCTAAATTAACAAAGAAAGCAAGCACAATAAAAAGAAAAAGAGCTTTGTTATTTTTAATTAGTTTTTATAATTAAAAATATCACAATCCAAAACAAATAAACTGTTTTTACGAAAGCTTAAGTGTCAAATTTGAGAGATTAATGCAATTTGCTAAAGCAGAACCTAAGCATGATGCACCTTCATCACCAATTTAATTGTCACTTTTTAAATATTGAAGAAAGAATATATCATTAAACAGTTAATTAGAAGGAAAAAATGAAGAAAAAATAAAATAATAAGAGTTATTAATTAATAATAAAAGCAAAAGTTGAAAATAAAATTATGAGCTAAATTAAAAAAGAATGAAACAAAAAAAAGCAAGCAGAATAAAAAAAAAAGAAAAAAAGAGCATTATTGTTTTTAATTAGTTTTTTATTTAAAAATATCACAATCCAAGACAAATAAACTATTTTTACCCAAGGTAAAGTGTCAAATTTGAGAGATTAATGCTATTTGCTAAAGAACCTAAGCCTGATGCACCTTCATCACCAATTTAATTGTCACTTTTTAAATATTAAAGAAAAAATATATCATTTAATAGTTTTTTAGAAGGAAAAATGAAGAAAAAATATGAAATAGTAATATTAATTAATAATAAAAGCAAAAGTTGAAAATAAAATTATGAGCTAAATTAACAAAGAAAGAAAGGAAAAAAAAGCAAGCACAATAAAAAGAAAAAGAAAAAGAACTTTATTGTTTTTAATTAGTTTTTATAATTAAAAATATCACAATTCAAAACAAATAAACTGTTTTTACCCAAGGTCAAGTGTCAAATTTGAGAGATTAATGCATTTTGCTAAAGCAGAACCTAAGCCTGATGCACCAATTGCACCAATTTAATTTTCACTTTTTTAATATTGAAGAAAAAAATATCATTAAATAGTTTATAAGAAGGAAAAAATGAAGAAAATATATGAAATAATAAGAATTATTAAGTAATAATAAAAAAAAAACTTGAAAATAAAATGATGAGCAAAATTAACAAAGAAAGAACAAAAAAATAAGTAAGCAAGATAAAAAGAAAAAGAAAAAAGAGCTTTATTGTTTTTAATTAGTTTTTATAATTAAAAATATCACAATCCAAAACAAATAAACTGTTTTTACCGAAGTTCAAGTGTCAAATTTGAGAGATTAATGCAATTTGCTAAAGCAGAACCTAAGCCTGATGCTACCATTGCGCCAATTTAATTGTCACTTTTTAATATTGAAGAAAAAAATTGTCATTAAATATTTAATTAGAAAGAAAAAATGAAGAAAAAATATGAAATAATAAGATTTATTAATTAATAATAAAAGAAAAAGTTGAAAATAAAATTATGAGATAAATTAACAAAGAAAGAACAAAAAAATAAGTAAGCAAGATAAAAAGAAAAAGAAAAAAGAGCATTATTGTTTTTAATAAGTTTTTATAATTAAAAATATCTCAACGCAAAACAAATAAACTATTTTTACCGAAGTTCAAGTATCAAATTTTAGAGATTAATGCACTTTGCTAAAGCAGAACCTAAGCCTGATGCTACCATTGCGCCAATTTAATTTCTACTTTTTAAATATTGAAGAAAAAATATATCATTAAATAGTTAATTAGAAGGAAAAAATGAAGAAAAAATATGAATTAATAAGATTTATTAAAAAAATAATAAAAGCAAAAGTTGAAAATAAAATTATGAGCTAAATTAACAAAGAAAGAACAAAAAAATAAGTAAGCAAGATAAAAAGAAAAAGAAAAAAAAGCTTTATTGTTTTTAATTAGTTTTTACAATTAAAAATATCACAATCCAAAACAAATAAACTGTTTTTACCCAAGGTCAAGTGTCAAATTTGAGAGATTAATGCAATTTGCTAAAGCAGAACATAAGACTGATGCACTTTCATCACCAATTAAATTGTAACTTTTTAAATATTGAAGAAAAAATGAAGAAATAATATGAAATAATAAGATTAATTAATAAAATTAAAAAAGAATGAAAAAATAATAAATCATAGTAAAAAGAAAATGGAAAACAAATCAAATAAATTAAAAGAACTTTAATGTTTTAAATTAACTTTTATAATTAAAAATATTACAATCCAAAAAAAATAAACTGCTTTTATTAAGTGTAATTTTAATAGCAAAAATGAAGAAAAATATCAAATAATAAAAAATGAATAATAAATAAATAATTAAAAATTGAAATGAAAATGAAGTTAAAATAGCTAAAAAATTATAGTTTTAATAAAAATCAATAAATAATGATGATAATTTCTTTTATAAAAATTATTTATTTAAATAAATTGAAAATTAAATATACAAAAAATAATAATAATAATAAAAATAATATTTTTTAATTAAATATACACAAGATCAATATGGAGAGCCTAATGAGATAAAAGTGAAGAGCTTATAAACTTTTTTTATTAATTTGTATAAATTTAAAAGATATTAATAAAAAAATTAGTAATTACTTTTTCTAAGCTGTTGTAATATTTAATCTATTATATCATTTATTTTTCTTTTCAAAGATATTGAATAGCAATTTATGAAATTTAATTAATTAATTAATTATAAATGGATAAAAAAAAAAATAAATATAATAATTAATTAATTATCAAATATTAATTTATAAATTTGCTTTTATGAAGAGATAGATATCACAGAAAAATTAATTTAACATTCACTATTTAAACTTAATATTTGTATTTAAAACATATACTTAAAAATATATATAGTACGAATTAGAAACTGCCAGTTATTTATTTAGTCATATTTTAAAAAAATATAGTATTTAATGTTCATAAATATTATAAAATAATGTTTTAAGTAGATTTTCTGTTTTAACTCTGTAATTTTAGGAATATTTATATTATCTCTAATTATAGCATGATGCCATACAAAAATTTCATGGTTTGCTTGCCACTTATTATGAAATATATTATTTATTTATTTATTAAAAAATCTAATTTATATATTTATTTTATAATAGAATTATAATTAATTAATAATTTAATTTATCATAATTTCAAATACAAATAATTTTTACATCAAAATTTTGTGAAATAGGGTTTAGAGGAAAATTAAAAATAAGATTTTTAAAGTACTTGTAAAACTAATAAATACATATAAAACAAAAGAAATATATTATAAATATAATAAAATTTAATTTTAAGTTGTATTCTGAGTGCATTTATATGTGCGAGTATTTCTATTCTATTCTATCACCAATTTTATTTGATCTTATTAAATATTGAAGAAAATATATAAAATTATTTAGTTATTAAAAATGATAAAATGAAGAAAAAATTATTAGTAAATAATAAAATAAAATGTTAAAAATAAAAAAATGAGTTAAATTAAGAAAGATAGAAAAAAAACATAAAAAAAAAAATTAATCAAATAAAAAGTTTATAAACAAATAAAAATAGTTTGTTGTATTATTTTTAATTCATTTTTATAACTAAAAAATTCATAATCCAAAACAAATAAACTGTTTTTACTTAAGAACAAGTACCAAATTTTAGAGATTAGTGCAATTTGCTAAAGCAGGACCTAAGCGTGATGCATAGTTTGCACCAATTTAATTTTCACTTTTTAAATATTGAAGAAAAAATAAAATTAATTAACTATGTATTAGGAAATAAGAAGAAAAAATATGAATAATAGGAAATTAATAATAAAAGCAATGTTCAAAATAAAAAATGAGTTAAATTAAGAAAGATAAAAAAAAAAAATTAAAATACAACAAAAAAGAAAAAGAAAAGTAAATCAAATAAAGAGATAATAAGAATTTAAAAGAGAATTCATTTTTATATGTAAAATATCACAATTTAAAACAAACAAATAAACTGATTATTACCTTAGAAAGAGTGTCAAATTTGAGAGATTAGTACAATTTACTAAAGTAGAACCTAAATTTGATGTTCCTAAATCTCCAATTTTGTTTAATCTTATTAAATATTGAAGAAAAAATTAAGAAAAATTGAAATAAAAAGAAATGAATCAATGAAATTTAATTAATAATAAAAGAAAATTTTTAAAATAAAAAAATTATTTAAATTAAGAAAGATAGAAGAAGAAAAAACACAAAAAATATCAAATAAAAATCTAATAGACGAACGGCATGGCCTACATATTAAAAGAGTTAATTTGTTTTAAGTTCATCTTTATAATGAAAAATTACAAAATACAAAATGAATAAACTGTTTTTACCTTAGATCAAGTGTCAAATTTGAGAGATTAATGCAATTCGCTAAAGCAGGATATAAGCTTGATGCACCTTAATCACCAATTTAATTGTTACTTTTTAAATATTGAACAAAAAATATATAATTAATTAGTTATTAATTATTATAAAATAAATGAAGAAAATAAATATATGAAATAATAATCAATTAATTTATAAAAAATAAAAGCAAATACTGAAAACAAAAAAATGAGATAAATTTGGAAGATAATAAATAAACCAATTAAAAGAGTTAATTTTATTGTCTTAAATTCATTTTTATAAATAAAAATATCATAATCCAAAACAAAAAAACTGTTTTTACCTAATAACAAGTGTCAAATTTGAGAAATTAGTGCAATTTTATAAAGCAAAACCTAAGCTTGATGCACCTTAATCATCAATTTTATTTTACCTTTTTAAATATTGAAGTAAGAAAATTTTGTTAATTAATGAGTTAGATAGATGGAAAAAGTTAGCAAAAAATATGAAATATTCACAAATGAATTAATAAATAAATAAATAACAAAAGCAAATGTTGAAAATAAAAAATAAATGAGTTAAATTAAGAAAGGTAGAAGAAAAAAAGCACAAGTACAATAAAAAAGAAAAAGATAAATAAATCAAATAAAAAGCTAATAAGCAAATTAAATGAGTTATGTTTTTTTAAACTCTTTTTATAACTAAAAATATCATAATCTAAAACAGATAAACTATTTTTACTAAAAATTAAGTTTCAGATTTGAGAGATTAGAGCAATTTTTTAAAGCAAAACCTATGCTTGATGCACCTTAATTACCAATTTAATTATAACTTTTTAAATATTTAAGAAAAAATATATTATTAATTAGTTATTTATTTATTTAGAAATAAAAAATGGAGAAATAATTAGAAACTAATTAATTAATAAGTAATAAAAGAAAATATTCAAAATAAAACAATGATTTAAATTAAGAAATTTAGAAGAAAAAAAATATAAGTACGATAAAAAAGAAAAAGATAAATAAATAAATCATATGAAAAGCTATTTAGCAAATTAAAATAGTTTTTATTGTTTTAAATTTATTTTTATAAGTAAAAAATATCATAATCCAAAACAAACAAATAAACTAAACTGTTTTTACCTTAGATCAAGTGTCAAATTCGAGAGTCTAGTGCAATTTGCTAAAGAAGAGCCTAAGTTTAATACACCTTAATCACCAATTTTATTTAATCTTATTAAATATAGAAGAAAAAATTTATTAATTATTAATAAGGAAAAAATGAACAAAAAATATATAATTTATTAGTTATTAATAAGGAAAAAATGAAGAAAAAAGATAAAATAATAAGAAATAAATTAATAAAAAATAAAGGCAAATGTTGAAAATAAAAAAATGATTTAAATTAAGAAAGATAGAATAAGAAAAAAACAAATCCAATAAAAAAGAAAATAAATCAAATCTAAAGCTAATAAGCAAATTAAAAGAGTTTTAATAATATTATTTTCATTTTTTTCATAAAAATATCATAATCTAAAACAGATAAGCTGCCTTTACTAAAGATCAAGTGTCAAATTTGAGAGATTAGAGCAATTTTATAAAGCAGAACCTAAGCTTGATGCACCTTAATCATTAATTTTATTTTTCCTTTTTAAATAATTAAGAAATAATATATTGTTAATTAATGAGTTAGATGGAAAAAATTAGCAAAAAATATGAAATATTCAGAAATTAATTAATAAATTTATAAATAAATAAAAAAGCAAATGTTGAAAATAAAAAAATGAGTTAAATTAACAAAGATATAAGAAAAAAAGCACAAGTAAAATAAAAAAGAAAAAGATAAATAAATAAATCTAATAAAAAGCTAATAAGTAAATTAAAAGAGTTTGTTGTATTGTTTTAAATTCATTTTCATAACTAAAAATATCATAATCAAAAACAAATAAACTGTTTTTACTAAAGAACAATTGACAAATTTAAGAGATTAGTGCAATTTGTTAAAGCAGAACCTAAGCCTAATGCATCTTAATCATCAGTTTAATTCTCACTTTTTTATATTGAAGAAAAATATATAAAATAAATAGTTTTTATTTAGGATAAAATGAAGAAAAAATATGAAATAATAATTAATAAATAAATAAATAACAAAAGCAAATGTTGAAAATAAAAAAATGAGTGAAATAAAAAAGATAAAAGAAAAAAAATACAAGTACAATAAAAAAGAAAAAAATAAGTAAATCATATAAAAAGCTAATTAGCAAATTTAATTAGTGAGTTATTTTGTTTTAAATTCATTTTTATAAGTAAAAATATCATAATCCAAAACAAAAAAATAAAATAAACTGTTTTTACCTTAGATCAAGTTTCAAATTTGAGAGATTAGTGCAATTTGCTAAAGCAGGACCTAACACTAATGCACCTTAATCAGTCATTTAATTTCCACTTTTTAAATATTGCAATAAAATATATATAACTAATTAGTTGTTTAGAAGGAAAAAACGAACAAAAAATATGAAATAATAAGAAATGGATTAATATATAATAAAAGTTAATATCGAAAGAAAATAAAAATGAGTTAAATTAAGAAAGAAAGAAAGAAAGAAAGAAAGAAAGAAAGAAAGAAAGAAGAAAAAAATATCTATAATAAAATAAAGAAAATGATAAATAAATAAAATAAAACCTAATTAACAAATTGAAAGAGTTATATTTTTTTAAATTCATTTTTATTACTAAAAATATCATAATTTAAAAAAAATAAACTATTTTTACCTAAGATAAAGTTTCAAATTTGAGAGATTAGTGCAATTTACTAAAGCGTTAACTAAGTGTTAAGAACCTTAATCACCAATTTTTTTTTATCTTTTTAAATATTGAAGAAAAAATATATAATTAATTAATTAATTATTTATTTATTAAAAGAGGTTTATTTATTATTTAAAATTAATTTTTTAACTAAAAATAGATACATACCATAACCCAAAACAAACAAACAAACAAACAAATAAATAAACTTTTTTATCAATTAAAACTTTTATAAAGAAAAAATGTATCAAAAATATAAAATGATAAAAATAAATGGATAATGAATTTAAAAAATTTAAAGTGAAAATTAAGTTAAAATAAATAAATAAAATAATTTTATATAAATAAAAAAAATGAATGTAGGAAATAATTTATTTATTTATTAATATAGAAAAATAACTTAATAAAAAAACTTTAAGTTAAAAATTTACAAAAATATTAATAATAAATAATATTTATAAATGAAATATACCTCATATCAATAAGGAGAACCTAATGAGATTAAAGTGAAGAGTTTAAAAACTTTTTATATTAGTAAAAATAAACTTAAAGTATTTTGATCAAAAAATTAATAGTTACTTCATCTAATTCCTTGTAATATTAAATTTATTTTATCATTTATTTTTTTTACTCAAGAATGTTTAATAGCAATTTATGGAAATTAATTTAATTAATTAAATATTAGTGGAAATAAAGAACAAATAAATTATATTGCTTTTAGTAAAAGAAATTACAAGAAAGTTAGTTAGTTAGTGTAATTAATCTATCTTCATTAGTAAATATTAATATTTCTATTTATAATGTGAATTTAAAAATATAGTAGTAACTGGACAGACTAGATATTGGATATAAAGCATAATGAAAATGCAAACTCACAAGAATTAAATAAAATTTTTAAATATTTATGAGTATTTTATTTTTAAATATATAAGTTATTTTTAAAATTATTAAAAATTGTTAAAAATAGTTTTTTTATATAGTATTTTAATAATTACCCTCCAGGCGAAATATTTGGAGGGCGAAAAATTAGGCTTAATAGGTAGAATATTTTTTTTTCTCTACCTATTGGCCCATAAAGGCTCCGATAGTAAATTCTCTATAAAATAACACTAAAAGTTTCAAATTATTTGATCCTTTTTGGAGAAACCAGAGGGTTTGCTTAGGAGGATTTAATTTTTTTATTTTTTATAAATAAATAATTTATTTATTTCCAAAAATAAGAATGATATTTATAAATATAAAATCAATAATAAAATCTATTTATCTATCTATTTATATTTTAGGTTAAAAACACATTTTCAAAATATTAAAAAATAAAATATATAATATTATTCAAACATTTAATATTATTCATCCTTTTTTAGTCAGTTATTTATCAATAGAAATATTTATCAAAGACAACTAATCTTTTTGATTTAAGACACTTGCTTATTACTTTGAATTGTTATGATTAATTCATTAAGCTAAATATTTTATAATAAATATGTGTAAATTTTAAAATAAATATCAAAATAGAATAAACTTTTAAATTAAAAATAATTCTTTAAATTAATAAATAAAATAATATTAGTGGAATAAAAAAGATAAAAAAATAAAATAAATAAAAGCTATCAGATAAATTTAAAGAGCTTTTTTGTTTGTTTTTACCCTAGAAAAAGTGTCAAATTTGAGAGATTAATGCATTTTGCTAAAGCAGAACCTAAGCCTGATGCACCTTTATCACCAATTTAATTGTAACTTTTGAAATATTGAAGAAAAGATATATCATTAAATAGTTAATTAGAAGGAAAAAATTATTAAAAAATATGAAATAATAAGATTAATTAATTAATAATAAAAGCAAAAGTTGAAAATAAAATGATGAGTTTTTAAATTAACCCTTTCGACTAGGGGAGTTTTTCACCTTTAAAATAAAGAAACCAAAATTATTAATTATTTTCAAAACACAGAATTTTATAAAATTCATAAACATTCAAAAGTTAGCTCCCCCGATTTTAAGGGGTTAACAAAGAATTAAAAATATCACAATCCAAAACAAATAAACTGTTTTTACTGAAGTAAAAGTGTCAAATTTGAGAGATTAATGCATATTGCTAAAGCAGAACCTAAGCCTGATGCACCTTCATCACCAATTTCATTGCCACTTTTTAAATATTGAAGAAGTTGAAAATAAAATGATGAATTTTTAAATTAACAAAGAAAAAAAAAAAAAAGCAAGCACAATAAAAAGAAAAAGAAAAAAGAGCTTTATTGTTTTTAATTAGTTTTTATAATTAAAAATATCACAATCCAAAACAAATAAACTGTTTTTACCTAAGGTCAAGTGTCAAATTTGAGAGATTAATGCATTTTGCTAAAGCAGAACCTAAGCCTGATGCACCTTTCTCACCAATTTAATTGTCACTTTTGAAATATTGAAGAAAAGATATATCATTAAATAGTTAATTAGAAGGAAAAAATTATTAAAAAATATGAAATAGTTAATTAAAAATAAAAGCAAAGAAAATAATATGATGAATTTTTAAATTAACAAAGAAAAAAAAAAAAAAGCAAGCACAATAAAAAGAAAAAGAAAAAAGAACTTTATTGTTTTTAATTAGTTTTTATAATTAAAAATATCACAATCCAAAACAAATAAACTGTTTTTACATAAGGTAAAGTGTCAAATTTGAGAGATTAATGCATTTTGCTAAAGCAGAACCTAAGCCTGATGCACCTTCCTCACCAATTTAATTTTCACTTTTTAAATATTGAAGAAAAGATATATCATTAAATAGTTAATTAGAAGGAAAAAATTATTAAAAAATAAGAAATATTAAGATTAGTTAATTAAAAATAAAAGCAAAAGTTGAAAATAAAATCATGAATTTTTAAATTAACAAAGAAAAAAAAAAAAAAGCAAGCACAATAAAAAGAAAAAGAAAAAAGAGCTTTATTGTTTTTAATTAGTTTTTATAAATTAAAAATATCACAATCCAAAACAAATAAACTGTTTTTACCGAAGGTCAAGTTTCAAATTTGAGAGATTAATGCATTTTGCTAAAGCAGAACCTAAGCCTGATGCACCTTCATCACCAATTTTATTCCAACTTTTTAAATATTGAAGAAAAGATATATCATTAAATAGTTAATTAGAAGGAAAAAATTATTAAAAAATATGAAATAATAAGATTAATTAATTAATAATAAAAGCAAAAGTTGAAAATAAAATGATGAGTTTTTAAATTAACCCTTTCGACTAGGGGAGTTTTTCACCTTTAAAATAAAGAAACCAAAATTATTAATTATTTTCAAAACACAGAATTTTATAAAATTCATAAACATTCAAAAGTTAGCTCCCCCGATTTTAAGGGGTTAACAAAGAATTAAAAATATCACAATCCAAAACAAATAAACTGTTTTTACTGAAGTAAAAGTGTCAAATTTGAGAGATTAATGCATATTGCTAAAGCAGAACCTAAGCCTGATGCACCTTCATCACCAATTTCATTGCCACTTTTTAAATATTGAAGAAGTTGAAAATAAAATGATGAATTTTTAAATTAACAAAGAAAAAAAAAAAAAAGCAAGCACAATAAAAAGAAAAAGAAAAAAGAGCTTTATTGTTTTTAATTAGTTTTTATAATTAAAAATATCACAATCCAAAACAAATAAACTGTTTTTACCTAAGGTCAAGTGTCAATTTTGAAAGATTAATGCAATTTACTAAAGCAGAACCTAAGCTTGATGCACCCATTGCACCAATTTAATTTTTACTTTTTAAATATTGAAGAAAAAATATATCATTAAATAATTAATTAGAAGGAAAAAATGAAGAAAAAATATATCATTAAATAGAGTAAGCTACTATAAAAATTTTAAAAAAGTGGAATTTTATATACCAAGTTATTACATTTTATAAA